TTTTGGATTTATAAGGTCCTAACCATGGCCTATCGTTTCAGAATATGAAATCGAAAATCTAAATTTTGAGTGGTACCGGCTCCACATAAAATTGATAGGTCCTCTCGCGGACCCTCTCTTATAACAAAGAAAGCAAATATAGAAGTTGAGTGATACCTATTTATATAAAAACAAAACTATGAAAAAGTGAAAAATCGCAATATCAAAAACTAAGTTCTTCATCGTCATTTTCAAGATCAACTAAATATTCATTTTCATTCTGATGATTGATAACATCATCGTTTGCTTAAGTTTTGTTGTGAATTGATTCTTCCTAAAATGCCCCTATTGTTTGTTACGTTTGAATTTTTATTAGCATATGTCATAGTAAAGGTGACAGGAAATTTTTTCTTTAAAATTTTCATATTTTCTATAAGAAAGTAATTTTGTTTCATTTTTTTGAACCCAGCATTCGTTTTTCACTAATGGTATTTTTACAAGATGAGAATAACCACTCCGCTGATGTGTTCACAGCGCTTATAGCTAAAATGTCACCAGCTATTGAAGCAATCAATGGAAATGCTCGCTGGTGTTCCCTCCAATATGCATACAGCTGATTACTTATAACATAAACGATCCCATGTCTCGATCAAACTATTAAAAATTTCTCTAATATTTTCAATCGCTTTATAATGTTCGTGATCGTGATCGTGATTTTCGCACAAAAATCCTTCGTGATCGTGACGTGATCGTGATTGGGTGGGGGTGGGGGTGCGGGTGTCGGTGTCGGTGTCGGTATGAAGGTGAGGGTGTGCGATATGGTACTTGTTTCATCCACACCCACACACCCACACCCACACCCACACCCTCCAGCGGGCAATGTAAGTGGTTGTAAGCAATGTGTTCATCAAGATCGGCTCGAAACTTTCCCTTTTTCACATCGTAGCAACACAAAGTGCGACTGTTCTTCGAGATTTAGACGGTGAGACCGTCTAAATTTTTTTTCCTCATACTAGGCAATTGTTGTTTCACAAGATCATTGAATTGTCCTTCATAAGTTATGTCGTTGCCAGTGATGTATATCACACTAAGATCTTTTAATAGATCCCATTCTTCGCGATGCATTAGTTCTCGTATCAACAATAGCCGGCGAGTATCGATACAATATCTTTTGCCATCATAATAAAAAACTCGAGCTTTTCGAAGGCAGCCAGGGTCAATTAAGCCATACACAATGGCAAACAACGTCTCAGCTGTGCTCATCTTGCCCTGTGAGAAATGTGTGTGTACATATTCTTGAGCATAACGTATGACAAAATCAGTACATTGGCAGTTCATACTATGCAAAAGAGAATTCTAACAGTATCAGTTAATCAACACTCACACTGAGTAAGTATGAATACGCTATAAAAACGTTACTTTCAGCTACGCCAAAAAATATTTATTTATGCCACTTTTGTTTTCTATTGGTCTCCCGATTGGAGATGTTTTTATGCATGCTTCTTCAATAGAAGACATTGAATTCTTGTTTTTGTTCTCTCGTAACATAATGCATTGCATCTCGTGGTGGTTTTGTTTTGTCAAAGCGTAGCCAATAAGAGTTGAAAAATGAATCACGTTTTTATGCTTTTAGAAAGCGCCCGCTTCTTTGAAGCAATGATATTCACAACATTAACGTTTACTTCTTTTTTTAGGTTTCAGGAAAAAAATTGAATTTCATGAAACGTGAGAGATGCCTCTTTGCACCTAAAACCGCTCCTTTTTCAAAGTGTATCTGGAAAGAGGCCAAGTCAGAAAATACGAAATACTGTATATATGTGTGCATATGTTTTTACTTACCACAGGATAGGGTATGGGGATGGGTGTAGGTATGGAGTGTGATATGTGGGCGTGGGTATCAAAATAATTAAAGATACGATCCACAGTCATACTCCACATCCTCACTCAAAACCACACGTATGCCAACCCTACCCCACACCCACACCCAACAGATGCTAAGAATTGAATATTTCCATCATACTTCAATCAAATAATGTTTTTTATAACGGGTGGCCAATAATAAATGACCCCCTCAGTATTTTGCATATTTCTCACCTATAGTTCAGCTTAAAAAAAATTTATAGAAAGATTACTTGTCAAATTTTCTACAAAACGATGATGTTTTTATTATTTTAAATAATTTCCATTATTTTGTGAGATTTGAAAAAATCTATTGGTCCAAGAAGTTCAACTTTCAAACACAATATTTTTGCGATTTTTTCTCACCGCACATTTTAGTTCTTGAATCATGGTCGATTTATATGTCACTTTATTCCGATCGATGACCTTCACGAACTCACCCCAAATACAGTTATCCAATGGATTAAGATCGGAACTATTTGTTGGCCAAAGGCCTTGTCGATAAATCCTGGAAAATTGTCATGACAAATTGTTGTGTTAACTGACGAACATGAGGTTTGGCACCGTATTGTCGAAATGTCCAATCATTTTCAAAGACGTAATTTCCAGATTAAAGTGCCACAGGAAGCACTTCTTTAATATATCGAGGATGGTCAACTGTGCCTTCATCAAATATCAGCAATGGAGATACACCATTGGAATAAATGTCAAGACACACCATCACCTTCTGAGAAGGGTGAGGGTGTGGGTGTGACAGGGTAATTTCTTCGTGTAAATGACACCCACCTTAAAATCGATTTTTTAATCATATTTCAAAAGATAATCCATATCGAGAATAAGATTTGTAGGTAGGTTTCTTGTCGCAAATGCTGAACCAGTTGTTATACTACCAGCTACGTGATTATTTAAACGAACAGCTTCTGTAACTATAAACGATGTTAGTTGATCAGCTAAAAATATTTTTGATGTTCTATACTTGCATATTTTCATTGTTCACCAGATTTAAACCACTTTTTATTGATAAATAAATTTTGTGTACCATCATTGATCGTTGTTGACATGTGTGGTAATAAATATAAGCGAAGAAGCAGATGAATGTAGAAATGAATTGGCGAAGGGTGTGGGTGGCTAAGGGTGTAGGTGTGCGTGTGGTGTGGTGTGGATTGATATATCATCTTCACTCAGACTCACACCCACACGCTCAAGATAGACAATGAGATGGGTCGTTGGTTGAGATAATTTTGGTTCAAAACATCTCATTCAAGTAAAAATTTGTATCTCCGAGTATTTCGTGTGTGTTTTGTATTTATAAGACAAAAGGGAATAACATTATTCGAGGCAAAAGTTTATCAAAACTCTTTGAAAATAGCTTTATTATATTACCAAACGATTTTCCGTGAAATTCTGCATTGAATAAGCTAGGAACAAAGTAAATTTCACGAGGGCCCAAAAATGGCTCTTATGCGCCCTCATTCGTTTTAGTGATTAGAAGATGGTAATATTGCAAAGAAAGAGGCATACGTTGCTCACAAAACTTATTCAGAAATCCACTATGTTGATTAATGGCTACTTCGAAGTAAAATGTAATTATACATTTTCATTCTTAGTTTGAAGTTCAAGATTTTCAGGACTTTAATATTTATTATTGAAATGTCAATTCTTGGTTGATATAATAATTGACTGGCAACTTGCATATGAAGAATTAAACGAAGCACCGAGTATGGATGTGATTGTGGTTATAACTAAAGGTGAACGAGACATCCATACCCACACCCACAACCTATTTCTGGCACCGACACTAGTGTGTTTATTTGTGGTTTTCAGTTGATAATTCTTCAAAGATATTTCCAAAGTTTACTGACTTAAAAAAACTGCTAAGATAACGGTGATTTTGCAATGATTTGGTTTTTCTTGCTAACTCGAATATGTTATTTTCATACGTCAAAAAGAATTACTTCATGCTGCCCTTTTCTCTTCGAGTTGATTTAAAATGAATCATAACATCACGTTTAAAATATATGTATTTCAATGTAAATGAAAGAATGTATTTATGTAGTTATGTCACTACGACCAACCCAAAAGCCAAATGCCATTAATTTCACGTGTTGTTTATCGCGTAGTATTTCCTCATAAAAAAATATATTCTTTAATTTTGATAATTCTTCTTTAACTTTGTTGAAAGAACCGTTATCTCCCGACTGATAGAAATGAATCGTCAACGTCGATAATTTAGGTAAATTATTTAATAAGAATAAACATGAATCTGGTTGGGTCTGATGACAAGTCATTTGTTCAACATTTGGAAATACTTTGTGAATTGAACTCACATCATGCGGCTTCTGACATGGATTTGGCTGAGAATATACACAGAACTGTAGTTTTTTAATCATTTCACTGGTATATCGGCATATTTCCATATTAGTTTTTAATATATCTACAGCACAGTTGTAAATATTGAGGGATGATATGTTTGGTGCTTCTTTGAGAATTTCTAACAAAATCGTTGGTCTTATTGTTTGAAAACATAATGGAATTTCTAAATGTTTTACATTTGACAAATTCATTATTCTTTTCAGAGATCTGATGAATATTTGTTCATCACTTTCATTAGCAAATACAGGTAAAGAATGAATAACCAACGA